GATGATAAATCCACAAAGTTGCTCCGATCACAACAAATTCCCATCATGTTAACACCACACCTCTGACAAATCAACTTATCAATCCTCTTCAATAGGATGATAAGTTCTTAAAGTTGCTCCAATCGCAACACAAATTCCTGTCACGTTAACACCACATGGTAGTCGGTAAAGGCTTATCAAATCCGTTGATAGCTGAGGGTTTGCCAAAAATCCTATGCATGTTTATAGGCTCATCAGCTTAATGGATGTGACCCGAGATTTGAAACAGATGAGCTAAAGACAAGTCTCAAAGACTTAGTTAAAAAATGCATGAGAGCCACCTCCGCGTCTCAAGTCGAAACGCCAAGGTCAGACCCGCGTTGCAAACACCAAAATGCCAAGGTCACACCCGTGTTCCACATTCAAAATACAAGGGTGAGACCCGCGCCTCAAGTTCAAAATACAGGGGTCCACCCCCATATTCCAGAAGGAGGATTATGACGCATACCTTCACACAGGTCTTGTGTGGTAAATCCCTTCAACCAAGATGCCTTTGAAGCGAGTGCAGAGAACGACTCCTTTACGATAAGGAATCAACAGCTTCAAGATTAGAGTTAAGATCCAAAGTATTCCGATAATTCGTCTCAGTCAACCGCGAACTTTTAAAAACTTTAGAGGGGGTTCTATAGGCTATCTAAAAATCATAATAGATAGTTGATCCCCCATCAAACATCGATGATGGAAGTTATAATCTGACGACTTCTAGAAGGCTATAATTTAAAGACTTTCACGTAGATCGATGAAGGTTACAATCTGACGACCTTCACAACAACCAAGACTTTCACGTAGATCGATGAAGGTTACAATCTGACGACCTTCACAACAACCGATGAAAGCTCTAGTTCAACAGCCTTCACAATCAAAACAACCGATGAAAGCTCTAGTTCAACAGCCTTCACAATCAACATCGGGAGTTACAATCTGATAACTCTTATATTTTCGAGTAGCCAAGGCGAAGTTCACTCAACAATGGTCTTTACAATGCTCTACAAAAGAAGTTATAAGTCATTAGCTCATTCTAAAACGCAGAATTCACCTTCGCGTTTTAGTTCTTAAAACGTAGGCAACCACCGCGTTTCTAAACCTCATCAAACAAAACGCGGGCGGCCCTCGTGTTTTTCAACATCCAGCGGGAGCCTAACTCCGCGTCTCCAGTCTAAAACACTTCACCTTCGTGTTTTTCAACATCCAACGGGGCCCCAACTCTGCGTCTTCAGTCTAAAACACGGCCTTAGGGTCCTAAATGCCAACTTGGGCGCTGTTTGACTCATTCAACATGAGCTGAATGGTTCCAAAACTGTTTCCCACGATTTGGGGATGGTTACACCCCACTTAGGAGTGATTTAAGGGGCAGTTACACCCCCTTAATCCCTTATAAAAACGAGTAAACTCAACTGAGTTGAGGGCTCCTTTGGGCTGGCGGATTATCTTAGGATCCTTGAACATTTTCGGATCTGAAAAGAGCAGCAAACAGCACCTCCTCTTTGATCTTTTGATCCTGGGGGCTTGGCAACAAAGAAGATCCTTCATCCTTCATCTGGAGCTTTAGAGATCGGCAACAAGAGCTTCTTCATCCTTAGCTTATAGCCGACTTTCAGTTAAATCAACTCTTCCATAGAGTTTCAAACTCATTCAGAGTTATCAACTCATTAAGAGTTTCAAACTTGCCTTACAAGTTCTCCATAGCATCAAATCGTGAGGAGGAGATATCGTTCCACTAAATCAAGACGTGCAGATCATCAACGGAGGGAAAAATCGACGCGAGCATTCGAGGGAGGCACTTCATCGCCATCGTGAAGAACCCAGAACTAAACAAATGGGAGAATTCAGATCAATTCTCCTCTCTTTTGTAATCGAAATTCTAAATTATAATTGAGATTGAGAGAATACAAATCAAATATGTTTCTTTCAATTTTTCTTTTTACTACAAAATTTCCACCAAACAGATACCGAAGAATACATAATAAGGCAACATAGTGAACAGAACGTGGGCCACTAACAAATTGACTGACAATGCTAACAACATGAGAGATATCTAGTCGAGAGATGCACAGATAGACCAACTGACCAACAAGATGTTGATATCGGGTAGGATCAGATAGAGGCTCACCATCAGTAGAGAGAAGTTCGATAATATGTTGGAGTGGAGTACCGACAGTTGCATCATCAGTTAGATCAGTTCTATCTAGAATATCCGAAAGATACTTATGTTGAGACAGTAGTACACCCCGCGGGTCTTGAGAAATTTCTAGACCAAGAAAATAACGAAGAGATCCAAGATCTTTCATGTAGAACTGTTGTTACAACTAAGATTTTGCGTACTGTATACCAGCCACATCATTACCTGTAATGATCATATCACCTACATAGATAAGTAATAAAACTCTGCCACACAATGTAGTGTGAACAAATAGAGAAGTATCTTGATGACTTTCCATAAAGCCCACCTTGAGCATGACATCATGAAAATACTCAAACCAAGCGTGGGGTGCCTGCTTTAGATCATAAATAGCACGGCACAGGAGATTTACATGTCTTGGGGAATATTGGACCCTAGAGGCGGTTACATATATACTATCTCAGATAAAGAGCCATGAAGAAAAGTATTTTTGACATCCATCTGGTATAAGGGCCAACGATGAGCAGAAGCAATTGTAAGTAGAGTACGAATGGTAGGTATCCGAGCAACAGGAGTAAATATCTCCTCATAATCAATACTTTGTTGCTGAGTAAAACCTTGAGCCACTAAAAGAGCTTTTCGACGTTCAATGGTGCTATCAGGATGAAACTTGACCTTATAAACTCATTTACTGCTAACAAGAGAGATCCCAAGAGGATAGGGAACAACATCCCAGGTATGAGTCTGCTGAAAGGCTTAAATTCCTCAGCCATAGCCTATCACCACTCTAGAATTTAAACTGCCTCTTGAAAGGACTTTGGCTCAAGGGTAGTATGAATGGAAGCAAGAAAGTTATGAAAGATATGTGAATAAGAAGTAACCGAAGCATACATGGCAGGCATGACATGTGGGCATTTGCCTCGACGAAGAGCAAGAGGAACCTCAGGCAGGGGAGATGTTAGCGCAGGTGCATGGAGATCAACAGTATGTTCTAGAGTGAGAGTTATGTCAATAGGATAGGGATCAGATGGTATAAGAGAAGGCTCGGGTGAGGAAGAGTCAACAAAAGGATATTAAGAGATGTCAAGGAGATCTCGAAAGAAAAACTAAGGTGAAGAAGTGGGTGATGCAGCTGACGGGGAAGCATGATCAGTAGAGTGGATGAAATTAAAGTCATCAGAAGCAGAATAATATGGAGAATCCTGACGGGGAAGCATGATCAGTAGAGTGGATGAAATTAAAGTCATCAGAAGCAGAATAATATGGAGAATCCTCTTCGAACTGAACATGACGAGATATATGATCAGAAGCAGAATAATATGGAGAATCCTCTTCGAACTGAACATGACGAGATATATGAACTCGATGAGTTACGGGATCATAACAACGATAACTTTGATGTTCTGAATTAATTCCTAAATAGACATAAGAAATAGCTCTGGGAGACAATTTATCATATTTGTGAGATGGCAGAAGAACAAAACATCGATAACCAAAAATACGGACTAGATCATAACGGGGAGGATGAGTATAAACATGACTATAAGGAGTAGCACCGAAAAGAGAGCTAGATGGAGTGATATTAATGGCATGAGTCACGATGAGAATAGCATTAGCCCAGAAATGACGAGGAACCAAGTAAGAAATAAGCATGGATTGAGAGGGATTGAGGATATGATCATGTTTGCGTTCAGCAACATTATTTTTTTCTTAAGTGTAGGGACATGACTATTGATAGATAGCCCCATGAGAGGACATGATAGAGCGCATAGTAGAGGATAGGCACTCTTTGGCACAATCAGAATAAAAAACTTTAATACGAGATTGTCATTGAGTGAAAATCATAGCAGTGAAGGCTTGATAAGCAGTAAGTACATCAGAGTGATTCTTAAGTAGGTAAACCCATATAAAATAGGAGAAATCATCGATAAAACTAACATAATATAAGTAGCCAGATGAAGAAGGAAAAGGAGTTGGCCACTAAATATCAGAATGTACTAAATCAAATAAGGAAGTGGATACAGATGTACTCATTTTAAATGGTAAAGCAGTGAATTTAGCCAATTTACAACCAGTACATGACTTAATACTAGAACTAGATGATACAAAACCAAGTACTCCAGACTGAATATGACTCTCCAACCTTTTATTAGACACATGACTAAGTCGTCTATGCCACAAATTAGCAGAAAGAGAGGTAGAGGGTTTTGACGAACAAACAGAAGCAACAAGAGAACGTGGGCGTATGGACTCTGGAAGATGAAGATATTCTAGAAAATACAGCTTGTGCCTCCTACGACCCGCCCCAACTGTCTTACCCATCTGTAGATCCTACACAATACAAGTATCAAAAGAAAATGAGAAAAACATGGCAGCCATATATAAAGAGCTAATAGAAATTAAATTCAAGTACAGCTGAGGAGCCACATAGACGGGACCAAGTGTTAGATGTCCAGATAGATTATTTTGTGGGGGTAATAGAGTCATTCATAGTGATGGACAATGGTTGTCCAGCAACTGTGTAGATAGGGGGAAGAGAAGATGAAGTGAAGACAGGATAAAAGTGAGGCATTACAAGTCATATGAAAGGAACAACCTGAGTCAAATATCTAGAGATCATTCATACCAGAGACCGAAGGATTAGCTAAATAACCAGAAAAATGAATACCAGAGGGTTGTGCGGTGGATGTAGAGGTAATATGTTTAAAAGCATCAAGTTGACGGTGAAGACTTTCAATAGCTTGAATAGTAGAGTTTGAAGTAGTAGAAGGTATAGCATTGGCCAGCAATCCTGGTGTACGAGAGGGTTAAGACTGAGGGGGTCGTCGACCACGACTAGTACCTGAGGAACGTAAGTCAGGATGATGCTTCAAGCATGTCTTAATGCGATGTCCTTCCTTCTTGCAATATTTGCAAGAGATCTTAGATCGAGTCTGTAGAGAGGGAGCCTGTAGAGAAGTATGATTCATAGCAGGAGCAGTGATAGATACAGACAGAACAGTCTCGAGTGAAGAGGTAGGATTGTTTGTTGACAAATTAAGTTGTGCTATCTGCTGCCGGGTCTCAAAAGCAATGAGAGCTGCTACAACTAAGGCCAAAGTCAGAAATTGAGGTTGATGAAGTAGTTGATCAACCATAGTTAAATATTCAGGAAGGAACTGAAACAGTTGATGCACCTCATATCGTTCATACCAGGCTAGCCAGTCTTCATATGTGGAGTTACGTCCAGGAAGCATGGAGCGTAATTCTATCCAAAAAGCTTACATTTGTTCAAAATGAGACTACAAAGAGGAACTACCTCTGCGTTGTAGAGCAATGCGTTGTAGAATATATGCCTCCCGTGCACTGGAGCACTCAATAAAACGCTCAGTGAGGCGAGTCCACATGGCTCGAGCAGAGAAAAGTGAACCAATCTCGACAGTGAGACCAGAGCCAACACAACGAGTGAGATAATCCATGACACGAAATTTCTGTAATTGCCAGTCTGAACTCTCCTTGACATAGAGAGCACGAGCAGTCTAAAAATTAACATCTCCACTGCCAGATGCAATAATACTAGATGAAGCAATAGTGCTGATGGATGGTGGAACTGGTCCCGTACTGGTGAGATGATCAAGCAAACTAATGCCACGCAAGGCATTGGTGACAATGGTGGACCACCCTGCCCAATCACTTTGATCATTAAGGGGTAAAGGTTGTTTGGAAATCTTCTCTGAATGAGCCATAACATCAATGTTAAGATGCATGTTAAGACGTCGAGATGGATTGAAATGGTGATGCCGTTACTGACTGCAAAAAGACAATGTCGTTTGTTTGAGGCCGAGAGACGGCTTGAAATGGCGATGCCGTTAATTTGAGACTGGGAGACGGTCTTAAAAACAACGAGGCCGTAAATTTGAGACCAATAGATGATTTTGAAATGGCAATGCCGTTAAAATAGAACCCGAAGGTTTAAAATAGAACCCGAATGTTAGAATAAAACCCGAAGGTTTAAAATAGAACCCGAAGTTTAATGTAAAAACCCGAAGGTTAAAATGTAACATCGAAAGTTAAAATGGAACCTGAAGGTTAAATAAGAACGCGAAATTCGTTAAGAGACTGCAAAGCAACAAAGGCAAGATTTGGCAAAAGAACGCAAAAGCGTTAAAACAATTTATTGGAAAGGAAATAATAACCCTAGCTCTGATACCATGTTAAGTAAGAGAGAGCGAGTCTTGAGTAAATTTCCCTTGAGTTGAATATTGAGTGTGCACATATATTTATAAAAGTAGAGGAGGGTGATGTGTGTTCTCACAACTAATGTGGTACTAAAACCTACTACAATACACTATTATCAACAATAAGAAATAGTGGCATCATTTGTTATTAGAAACATCTTGATTGCCCACGAAGCGTAGTTATCTCTCGATAGCGTCGGGTATTGAAGAGTGAGCGAACCCACCTTGGTCGTCATCTTCTCCGCACTCATCATATCTTCAGATCTCGGTTGAAACTTAGACATACACTGTTCTCTGATACCACTTGATGGCTTTGAATTAGGATCGGCCTAAGTACTTACCAGGATTTGTCACGAAAAACGAGAGAGAGAGAGAGAGGGAGAGAGAGCCGAATTTTTTTGAGAAGGGAGTTTTTCTTCTTCATGCATAAAAGTTACATGATTGCTTACATATATATAAGATCATACCACTAACTAACTTCTAACTTCTTCCACTAACATTATCCACTAACTTCTATCTTCTTCCACTAACATTATCCACTAACTTCTTCCACTAACATTATCCACTAACTTCTAACTTCTTTCACTAACATTATCCACTAACTTCAAACTTCTTCCACTAACTTCTTCCACTAATATGGACTCCTACAAACGAGGGACACTCCTCTTAATGGGTAGGATAGATTAACCATCACATTCTCCCCCTTAATCTGGACAAGAGTCTAAGTTCCTTACTCCTAGCAGCTCCCGCATTTCGATGAACTTCACCCTTGCTAGTGCCTTTGTGAGAATGTCCACCCGATGCTCGCTCGTGCTCACGAACTCCACTTTAATCTACCCTCGTTCAACACACTCATGAATGAAATGAAAACGTGTGTCAATGTGCTTGCTTCTTCCATGGAAACTAGATTCTTCATCAAGGCAATCGCGGACTTGTTGTCAACGAAGAGAGTAACTGGCTTAGGCTTACTGTTGGTCACTTTGCTGACTAAGCTCCTTAGCCACAGACCTTAGCATGCTACAGCTGTTGCCGCCATGAACTTAGCCTCGCAAGAGGATAATGCCACCGTCTTCTGCTTCTGTGATGTCCAAGTGACCAAACTGTCACCTAGATAGAATGTCATGCCGCCTGTGCTGCGTCTGTCATCAACATCTCCCGCAAGATCACTGTCAGTGAATCCCACCAATTCTTCATTGCATCGACTCCATCTATACACTAATCCATAGGACACAGTGCCCTTTACGTATCTCAGAATGTGCTTGACCGCCTGACTATGCACAACTGTAGGCTTCTCCATGTACCTACTCACAATCCCCACGGCATAAGAGATATCGGGTCGGGTGTGAGTTAGATACCTCAAGCATCCAATGACTCGTCTATACTGTGTCACATCCACCGGTGTTCCTTCAGGGTCCTTTCTAAACTTTAGCTTTGCCTCCATGGGATACTAGGTCGGGTTGCAATCCATCATTCCGAACTGAACCAAGATCTTCTTTGCGTAGGCCGCCTGCCTTAGCGAAATGCAATCACCTCTCTGGTCGACCTCTATACCAAGATAGTAGGAAAGTAGCCGAAGGTCGCTCATCTCGAACTCCTTCATCATCTGCAACTTGAAAAATCTGATCTCATCCGCACTTGAGCCCATGATGATCAAGTCGTCCACGTACACACCAACAATGAGTACATCCCCTCCGTTGCTCCTAGTGTATACCACCTTCTCTTGAGAGCACCTTACAAACTCGATGCCCTTCAAGCATTTGTCAAGTCGTGTGCTCCACGCCCGTGGTGCTTGGCGTAGACCGTAGAGCGCCTTGGAAAGCTTGTGGACCTTGTGCTCTTCCTTCTTCACAACGAACCCTTCAGGCTGGACCACGTACACTTCTTCCTGGAGATCACCATTTAGAAATGCCGACTTAGCATCCAGATGGTGCACCTCTCATCCGTGCTATGCTGATATAGAAAGGATCATCCTGATGGTATGAAGTCTCGCCACAGGTGTAAACACCTCATCGAAGTCCACGCCATGCTGTTGAACGTAGCCCTTCTCTACAAGTCTCGCCTTGTGCTTGAGGATGTTGCCATCACTGTCCTTCTTCAGCTTGTACACCCATTTGAGGCCAATGGGTTTGGAGCCCCATGGTAGCTCCATGAGTACCCAAGTCTTATTCTTCTCGATGGCCTCCATCTCATTTTCCATGATTGTCCGCCATTCTTGCTCTGTTGCAACCTCACCATAGCTCGTGGGTACTTCAGTGGCCAGAAACAGTTCCTCTGTGTAAAGATTAACCACCTCTGTCTCTGTATAGATATCTGCTAGGGAACAGTAGCGCACATGTTCATCTTGAGAGATAGGAGTGCCAGGAGTTCCGAACGCCTCCGATGCAGCGGGACTCGCTGCCTCAGCATTTGCACCTAGGCCGACGGCTATCCAGCTGCTGATTCCCCTTCCGCCGTGAACTCCACCCAGTTAGGTGGTCTTTCATCTCCGTCTACACTCCACTCCCATTCTTTTCCTTCCTCGAACGCAACATCCCTGCTTACATGAACTTTGTTGTGTTGAGGATCATAGAGGGGATGCGCTTTGCTCCCTTCTTCTACGCCAATATAAACCATTGACGTGCTCCGATCGTCAAGTTTCTTGTGATAAGCTCCTGTAACCTTCACATGTGCCACACATCCAAATATTCTCAAGTGTTCTAGACGTGGTTTCTTACCAAACCAAGCTTCGTAAGGTGTGATATCACACAACGCTTTGGTTGGTAGTCGGTTGAGCAAGTACACCGCATGCCTGACTGCTTCGCCCCACATCGTTCCTGGCATATGCACACTCTTGAGTAAGCTCCTTGCTGTGGCCATCACCATGCGATTGCGTCTCTCCACTACACCGTTTTGTTGTGGGGTGTACGGTGCAGTGAAATGACGCTTGATGCCGTAGTCTTCACATAACTGGGTGAACTCCTTTGACAAGAACTCGCCACCACGGTCTGTTCTCAGGGTCTTCACCTTGTGGCCACAGGCATTCTCCACCTCAGTCTTGAACTTCTTGAAAGCTTCACAGGCCTGACTCTTGGCCTTCAACATGTACACCCACATCCACCGACTGAAATCATCAACAACAAAGAGAAAATATTTGTTACCAGCAAGTGTAGATGGGGTGATCAGGCCACATAGATCGGCATGTAATAATTCCAGCGGCTTCTGATCTCTAAAATTTGCTTGCGAAGGAAATGGAAGTCTTGTTTGCTTGGCGACAAGGCATCCCTCGCATATTTGGTTTGGGTGCACAATCTTCGGCAACCCAGAAGCCATCCTCTTGTCGGTCATCATCTTGAGGGAAAAGAAATTGACATGCCCAAGGCGAGCATGGCACAACCAAGCTGGATCATCAATGTTCGCTATCAAACACGTCGGCCTGTATGTCTTCAACTCTATCCTGTACAATCGGTTAGTTGAACGTTTCACCCTCATCAAGAGAGCACCGTTCCTATCAAACACCCTCAAGAACTTATCAGCAAGAACAACTTTACTTCCATCTTCAGTCATCTGACCCGTTCCTATCAAACACCCTCAAGAACTTATCAGCAAGAACAACTTTACTTCCATCTTCAGTCATCTGACCAAGGCTAATGATATTGGATTTTAAACTTATCAGCAAGAACAACTTTACTTCCATCTTCAGTCATCTGACCAAGGCTAATGATATTGGATTTTAAACTCAGAATATAATATACTTCAGGTAGTATCCTTTGATCGCCGTTGTTGCACTGGAAGAGAATAGAGCCTTTCCCCTTGATCTCTACCGTGGATCCATCACCAAACTTGACGGTTCCGGTGATGTTCTTGTTGAGCTCCTTGAACTTGCCTCGATGGCTGGTCATGTGATTGCTAGCTTTGTTGTCTAGGTACCAAACATCATTGTCAACTTGTGTCTCCCTGGCTGTGAGTAAGTTCGGCACACCTTCTCCTCATTAAGCAAGATGACAGTGGATGATTCCTCTAACACAGTCATCATCAAGGTTGGCTCCTCGTCATAGACTTGGGTGAGATGAGCCTCCTGATCGTGATTGTGGCATTGCTTGCGACACTCCGACTGAAACTGCCCGTATACTCCGCAATTAAAGCACTTGATGTTGGATTTGTCTCGACCACCGTTTGTGCTACTCTCGCCCTCCTGGCGAGCTACGCCGCCGTGCCAGAAAACCGCGCCAAGACGGCCTCCCGACTCCGAAACCGCCTTCAGCCCACCTGGCCGTCCTGCGTTCTCCTCACGGTACCCACCTGGCCACGCGACCAAGCTTGACCTCCGTCTGGCCGCCGCTGCCGGCTCACTCACCTAGCCACCGCGGAATCGCCCTGGCCGCAACCACGCCCGAAGCGACCGGTCTCGCGAGCATGACCTCATCCACTGCCGTCACTAATCGTCTGTGTTGAGAAGGAGTTTCCACTGTTCTTCTTGCCCCTTGCTTGCCACTCCGCATGTGTCAACAATAAGTGGTCGTCGACATTGTATCGAAAAACACGTGTCCGCTCCTCGTGGGCCTTGAGACGTCCGATCGCCTCCTCGAGTGTCATGTTGTCGATGTCCCCGAACTACTCAATCGTGAACACGATAGTAAGAAACCTTTTCGGTACTGCCCGAAGTAGCTTTCTGACGACATAGTTCTCCTTCATCTCACCGCCTAAAGCTCGGATCTTGTTGACGACTCCTGTCAATTTCGTCGAAAATTCGTCGACGTTGACTTTCTCCTTCATCTGGAGAAGTTCGAACTCGGACTTCAAGGTCTGCACCTTCGTGTTCCTCACACGGTCCGCTCCTAGATGCATTGTTTTCAACGTCTCCCATGCCTCCTTTGACGTCTTCTTCTCTGCAATCACCATCAAAGTCTCTTCAGGAATCCCCTGATAGATGGCCGCCAACGCCATCTGATCCTTCCTGACTTCCACGGTCATGTCTGTCGCGGGCTTAACAGCGTCCCACCCATCTTGAGCCTTCATGTAGACTTTCATCTTGATTTCCCATGAAGCGTAGTTATCTCTCGATAGCGTCAGGTATTGAAGAGTGAGCAAACCCACCTTGGTCGTCATCTTATCTGCACTCGTCATATCTTCAGATCTCGGTTGAAACTTAGGCATACATTGCGCTCTGATACCACTTGATGGCTTTGAATTGGGATCGGCCTAAGTACCTACCGAGATGTGTCACGAAAAACAAGAGAGAGAGAGAGAGAGAGAGAGAGAGAGAGAGAGAGAGAGAGAGAGAGAGAGAGAGAGAGCTGAATTTTTTGAGCAGTGAGTTTTTCTTCTTCATGCATAAAAGTTACATGATTGCTTACATATATATAAGATCATACCACTAACTAACTTCTAACTTCTTCCACTAACATTATCCACTAACTTCTAACTTCTTCCACTAACATTATCCACTAACTTCTAACTTCTTCCACTAAATTCTTCCACTAACATGGACTCCTACAAACTAGGGACACTCCCCTTAATGGGTAGGACAGATTAACCATCACAGAACAGCTCACTCAAGGTTCTCAATTCCTATTGATATCAAAGATACATCCACATGTTCAGTCCAACGGGGATCAAAGCTTGTATAGTTGCTGAAACAAACTAAATTGGTTATTTGGGATGAGGCTGAAATGCAAGACCGAAATAATTTCGAGGCCGTTGATAGAACATTGCGCGATATACTAAGTATTTCTGATCATTCAGCTTCTAATAAACCTTTTGGTGGTCTCACTTTTTTCTCGGCAGTGATTTTCAACAAATACTTCCCGTAGTTCCAAAGGTAAATCGGGGAGATATAGTGAGCGGCTGAGCGCAACAGTCAACAGGTCAAAACTATGGGATAAGTGGTTATTCAGTTGAGAATAAATATGACGCTTCAAAGATCAGATTTTTAGGAAATATGAAAGAAAGTGCTTCCTTCAGCAAGTTGACATTGGATATGGGTTTGAAGTTATAATTCATACAAATATTACGAATATTTCCAGATTTAAACTATATTTGCCAATTTATTCTTACAATAGAGTGACTAACCAAAATGATATATGTAGTCTTCCATTGATCAATTTTCCTCATTGAATGCTCAGTAAAATAAAACTAATGAATTAATGTTTAATTTTGACACTTTATTCGAATAATTTAAACTACCTTAGGAATTACCTGAATAATCACTATTAACAATGCTTTAATTGAGATAATTGTCCGCTAAAAATCTCCCCATGATTAAAATTGATCAAATTATAAAACATATTTAACAAACAATAGGAGGCATTTCAAATGAACTTCGTTGTCAGGTGCAAGCTGAGGTTTCATTTCTCACAGCTTTCCAGTTTTAACACTCTCTTTCAAGTTTCAGGTATTTCGGTTTATAATTAAGGGGATGTTAGATCTCATGTTTATGAGCCTACTATCTATCTAGTTTTGATG